ATCCTTAAATGGACGATCGTCTGACTCAATACTAATCGTTTAACATCGTTTTCTAGTACGTCAGCAATGTCCCTGTTGTACGAATGTATAAACACGGTGATAGCCGTGTTAATTTCGATCTCCTCCGGTATGCCGAATCACTCCGATTCGATACAGTTATGTGTTCAGAAGTTGAGGATACTAATAGAGGATTCCGATCAGAATCTCAAGTATCTCGGATTGTTAGCGATGTCGAAGATACTGAAGACTCATCCGAAGAGCGTGCAGGCTCACAAGGATCTTATAATGCAATGCTTGGACGACAAAGATGAAAGTATAAGATTGCGTGCCTTGGATTTACTATATGGTATGGTTTCGAAGAAGAATCTCATGGAGATTGTTAAAAAGCTGATGGTGCACATGGACAAAGCCGAGGGCACTGCTTACAGAGATGAATTACTGTCCAAGATAATTCAAATCTGTTCGCAAAACAATTACCAGTTTGTCACTTACTTCGAATGGTAATCGATTTATCAATAATTATTTATTAACTCCCTCGACAATACTCTGATTAAAATCCATTTTTTGTTAAAGGTACATATCTGTCTTGGTTGAACTGACGCGAATGGAAGGTACCAAGCACGGACCACTAGTAGCAACTCAATTACTCGACGTAGCGATCCGTGTACAAGCCATACGGAAATACGCGGTTCAACAATGTGCCTTACTGTTAGAAAACTCGTACCTCCTAACGGGTCAACCGAGAGCGACGATGTCGGAGGTTTTATACGCGGCTGCATGGATCTGCGGAGAATTTTCTAGGTAAAATTGTCAATGCTCCTTAATTGAAACACGAGGATTAATCGTTTATTAAATGAACAGTGAATTGGAGGATCCTATAGCGACGTTACGGTCGATGCTGAGGTCGCAAGCTTCCAGTTTACCGGGACACATCCAAGCTGTCTACGTTCATAACATTTTAAAACTCGCCACTACGACGTTGTGCAAAGCTGAGAAAGAGGAAGACACGGAGACTATGGAACAGGTACGTCGATTCGATTATTGTACACGAGGAAATACATAATCTTTTTTTATATTTCACAGATATTCGCATTGAAAGATAAAATAGCAGCCTTCGTGTGTAGCGGGGATCTGGAAGTTCAAGAAAGGTCGAGCTCCGCGTTGGTTCTGTTCGAATGTCTGAAGGAAAATCCTGGATTGGCAGAGGAACTCATGGAAGCGTTCGAGGGAGAACTGAATCCCGTCGCTCCGAAAGCGCAGAGGAAGGTACGTCGTTGGAAACGATTTTGTTTTAACTGTCGATGATACGTCGTTCCTTTTAGGTACCGATTCCTGAGGATCTCGATTTAGATTCCTGGATCAACGACCCGCCGTCCGAAAGCTCAGACTCCGAAGACTTGGATATGAACGATATTTTCGTGAAGGCAGACAAGATCAACGATTCTTATGCTAAGCAAGAATTCAATGAACCCTCGCCGGAGGAACTTGAGAAACGTCGCGAGGCTAGAAAACTGGAACAGCAGAATAATCCGCATTATTTAAAAGGAACGTTCAGGTATTCGTCGTCGTATCACAACTCGTCGAGCATATACGAAGACTTCGAGAACATTCCTGTGGCCAAGTTAGACATTCCAGTTTCCTTGAAGATCACCAACAAGCACAAGAGATACAAAGTGCACGGCAAGAAAAAGAAGTCGAAGAAAAGTAAGTGTTTCATTCCTTGAATACTTTGCGTCTCGTAATCACGAGTTAACTTTTAGACAAGAAGTCAGCGTCGGAGGATGAACAGGACGACGTCTATCCCGTTCAGGTGGTCAAGACTGGGATCGGTGAACTGCCACCAGGTGCTGAATTAAGTGATAGCGATGACTACGATCAAGTGGACGTGAACGATCCACACAGAGCTTTAAATATTAATTTAGATCTACCGTTGAGGGACGACGAGAGGCTACCTGTTTTAGAGCATAGAGTCATCGAGAACAATTCGATTCGTGAAACTACTGAAAGTAAAGAAAAGAAAAAGGAGAAGGTAATTTATTCTCTCTCATAATTTAATGTTAAATATCGTACTTACGTTACGTTCAATTAGGGGCACAAGAAATCTAAGAAAAAGGAAAAAGAAATTAAAGAGAAACGTTACGACAATCAGTTAGAGTTGGCCGACATGTGGCTGGAGAACAACGTTTCTTCTGAAAAGATCCACGAATACACGGAGGTTTTCAGTGAGAAGGAAAGAAAGGACGTGAAACGTAAGAAAAAGAGCCAAGAGAAGCACAAGAAGGCTGACGAGGATAAGCATCGAAAGAAGAAGTGCAAGACTAAAAAGGAATCTAAGAAGTCTTCGGATTACGAGGAAACCGCTGGGATATCGACACCTTCGAAAGAGATATTGCCAGAGTTAAGATACGATTTCTCGTACTCCGAAGACGGTGACAAGACCACTTCGGTACAGCAGAGTACTTCGTACGAGGAGCTAGCGAAGAACAAAGACTTAATCGTAACGTACGAATTAAAACAAATTCCTGACGACTCGAAACTAGTCGCGTCCATACTCATTACGAATCATTGTCAGAAATTAGCCAAGGAACTCGTGTTCGACGTGCCGGACACGTCTTCTCTGAGATTAATCAGAAACGTAAGTCCCTTGTGTAAGTAAAACGTTCCATCGTACATTAATTCTGTTTCTCGTTCAGATCGGAGATGAATTTGGTATAAAATTGCCGTTTCAACTGCCTCCGGAAACCAGTAAAGAGACCGAGTTCACTATTTCGGTCTCGGACGTGACGTTCGCTCAGAGGCTGCGAGGCACGCTGACGTATATGTTAGAGAGCAAAGAAAGTACCTTGCAGGAGAAGCTCGACTTTACTATGCACTTACCGTGCAGTAAATTCATGGTCGGCGACCTCTCGCACAAGGACATCCTGACGGAGTTGCTGAAGAGCGGGCAGCTCGTGTACAAAGTGAAAAAGGAAGCCACCCTCCCGCAAAAGTTTGATATCACGTTGAACTCGATTTGTAGCAAATGTAATCTGACTCTCGTGGAACAAATTAACGATACTGCATCCTTGTACGGACACTCCCTGAAAGGACATCACGTGTGCCTTTTATTAAAATACAACGTAAGTATTTTATCCTTGATTATTGATCATTATCGTAAGAATAAGAATAAGGAGGATCTGTTTGATTGTTTAGAAATCGTCGGGTAATTTGCTGATCGAAGGCAAGGGTGACAATAATTCATTATTGTCGGGAATCGGTGAAGAGATTTCCAGGATTCTCACATAATGTTCCCTGAATCCAGAGAAGCGTGACGGCATTCGTTATAAACTGGCTCTATAAAAAATGTATCCGCAGACTAACGAAATATTTTGAACCGACAGAATGTTATCTAAACCTCACAGCTAATTTAGATAAACAAATTTACGATGATACGCGTGTATAAGATGTACACGTGTGTGTACAGATACAACGTTTTAAACAAGAGAGAGAGATTTATTATCGAGAATTGAAGACGTCAGAACGGAAGTAGTTTATTTTATTTCGTTTCAAGTGCAATAATAAAATAGGAATGTAATTTAATTTGAATATCAGAGTCGCTTAAGCGTAAGGAGTACTCAGCCTGATTTTGCTACGTGTAAATATCGCTTATGAATCCTAAACGATGTCCATCGATCATGTTTCATGGATCTATCAAATGTTCTGCCGCAGAAGGTGAAGTATCGTTTTTAAGAGCATTGTTCATCTGTATTATAATTTCAATTGCCCTCGATACTACTTCTCTTCATCCTGATATCTTCAATTCGATGTTATCGGAAGATTACTATCGTACATTGTTGAATTCACTAAAATTGTAAAATACATTACGGATACTCGAGACTCGTATGGGTGTACATCGATGTTTCTCAGTGTATGTAATGATGACTTTGTAATATCGATAATTTAATACACGTAAGGATTCACGATAAGCCGTATAAATAATATGCAATACAATAATTCGTGAAACACCAAATGTACATAGCTAATTCTTGTATGCTGATAAACTATATATCTTTATTTTGAATATCTTCCAAACAGCAACTCTTCATTTGAGGAGTGTTATCAACACACCGGGTTACTTATTTATCATTCACGAAGAACAAATGCAGTGGGAAAATCGATTGGAATGTATTTAAAAACTGAATAACTTTATTTTATTAAAGTTATTCTGTTTGAATAAGCGTTCGGTCGGTTTCGAGCCACTGTAAGTATTGATAACATTAAACGCCAGTAATTTACGTATAAAAATTGAGATTAATACCACATAGACAGAGTTAAGAAAGTATTATACGTATACTAATAATATAAATATTGCAATTTTAATGGATTTCTTATTTAAAATAGTTTTCTTAACGCGTGCCAAAAACGACTTCGTCCTCGAACGTAAAATAAGTCGAACAATCTTTCGTTTCGCNTCGTTGGCCATTTTGGATTTCTAACCAATCAGAGAATATAATCACGGATGTTTCCAGTCGTTGGCCATTTTGGATTTCTAACCAATCAGAGAATATAATCACGGATGTTTCCAGTCGTTGGCCATTTTGGATTTCTAACCAATCACACTTCTCATATTAGGAGAATATGAATCAAAGTAGGTTGCACTAACTCCTGTTGCTGACGTCACACGAGGAGTTAGTGGAACTTCCTATCACTTTATATTTGCCTAATACAGAGTGTATATTTCGAGTCGATTCCGCTAGATGGCGCCACGAGGGCCTCGCAACATCACGTGGCGTCAGTATAACTTAAAGAGGCAACGATAGTTGTGGCTGGTGGCTGCTTGTAACGAGTCTACGCAGGTTAGGTTAAGTTGTGAACGAAACTTCGCCGGGACATGTGTGATGTGTGAATTAAATTGTTGATCACAGTTCGATTAATTATAAAATGCCGTTGATACTGTCGAGTAACCCGCGAGAATGGCTGAACGTCGATCATTACAAAGCTCTGAAGACTCAACATGAATTGGTCGACGAGTGGGAACCGACGCGTGAGGTGTACGTATTTCATTCACATTTTCATAACATCAATCTCCTGTTTTAATTTGTATTAAAATACATCCTAATCTTCGTTATCTATAGTAAAACAACTATTCTTTGAATTTGATTTATGTATTCCATGCGTGAACTTAATTCGGTCTACGAATTTCTTCATTTACTTACACTTTGCAACGTGAACTTCGTATTACAGACCAGTCTGTATTAAATCCTTCTTTTTATTTCAGTTTCCCTTTGAAATATGGAGATTACATGGTAGCAATGTGCGCTGGCATTAGCGGGGTGTCGATCAATTCAATATTCAGGAAGAAAATGAAATTACAACAAAAAGGCGCCGTGTTCACGACCTTCTTCTTGACACTGGGACCAGCTTTCGTCGCATACATTTGTCACAGAGAAGTAAGTGAAACAAACTGGTAAGAAAATAATCGTCAATCTATCATAAATATGTAATTATTTCCAGTATGTCACAAACAAGATACTGCTGTACCAAGCACGGTGCTCTTTGTGTGAAGAATTAAAAGCTGTGTCAATGATCTCTGCTACTGGCTTCGTGTACCCTATGATCGTCTCCTCAGCAATAAATCTCGCAGTAAGTTTGCCACTCGCACTGTGTCGTGTTTCAATGTTTTATCTCCCTCTACGATTCGATTTAGATTGCTGGAAATATGGGATACAGAATTCCTTACATATACGAAGTAAGAGAACTGGCTACGTTCTTCTGGAGTGTCCTCAAGCCACAGTCTAGAGTCCTTGCTGTTTTATTACTGGGAAATGCACTCATAGCTAGCACTGTAACGTATAAACAGCTCCGTTCGATGCAACTCGTCTCTGATATTTTAATTAAGGTTCAACCGTACTTGGAGGACGAAAAGGTATGTTGATTAATAAATAAGTCTATTGTACATTTCGTATATGAGGATAAATAAATATTTTTACGTAGGACGATAAACAGAATATGGGAATGTCTTGAACATTGCATATTCTAGATTACTGTTTAAAAGTTCAATCAGCCAGTTTGTTGTGTATATAATAAGTGACGGACTGTTAGTAATAAATTTACACGACAAAAAATTTGTACAAATTAATTTTATTGCATGTAGTGGTAAAAGTGGTGTGAGAGCGTATTGAAACAGCTCTGGAAAATACAGTTTTAAACAGTATAATCTATATATATATATATTATTATAAAAAATCATTTACACGTACTTCTATCAATTACACACTTACTTATACGCTATTCTTTGTAATTGAGCTAATTACGATTGATGAACAGGTTTCAATTCATTTAACAAGTTTAGTTCTCGAACTGTGATTAGGGAAACGTTTTAAGTACAATTAAACACGCGATCTGATTGATATATTACATACTGCACGTAGTTCGGACGTCGTTATCAAGGCTTTATTTTCGTTAAAAAATATGTTCTTTTATAAAGGAGATAGATAGATAGAAACGAAATGTGTAAGAGGCACCGGACTAGGCTTGCTCAAGGATTCGTGTAGGAAGACGTTCCCTAAGATAATAATAACAACAGCGATAGAACAACAACAAAATCCCGATTCTACGTGTACCAGATTTTGTATAGCAGGTAATATGAAAGATAGAGTAGATACTCGAGATGACTGTATGCACAATTGTTCGATTCTGTTACAATGAATTGGTGCCGCGAACACGCGTGACTGGCCATTATATTATATAGATAATTATTATATTGCAAACAACAATTAAAAGTATGTGTACTCGAATAACAAATGTTGCCAGGCGTCTGGCAAGTCGGGGGTCCTCTGACAGAACCCCATGGCAGTTGCTAGCACGTTTTACCGTGCCAGCGTGTGATATAATCCTGATAGCTTACGGTCACTTTCTCACTCTGGTATCTAGTCAGCTTTAAACTACGTCTAAGATCTGGTGTAACCAATCCTTTGTAGCCTCCTTTATGCAGCAGAGAGTCTATCGTTTGTACTTGGTTCCATCCTAGAATTAAAATTCGTAGATCGTAGTCTTCAGTGTAGATGAAAATTATCAATAAATCGATCTGGGCGACAGACCTTGCTCTATGGCTACGTCTGGTAAATACGTAGCAGTGCGTTTATTGCCTTTTTCATTGTGAAATTCAATTCGTATTCCGTGAACTCCTATCACCCAGTCCAGATAATCTGCCCCATCTTCGAAGTGTCTAAGTATAGAAACGCTGACGTGTAGCCTCGGGAGTTCTTCCAACGTTATCGGATTGAACCTTGAATCCTTGAAAGCACTACAGAGAAACGTTATGATCTTTGTAGCAACGTTTTCAAATAGGCGCGTTTAAGTAGTTTACCTAGTGGTGGCGTATTCTCGTAATCCAGCGTGTAAATGCATCGCGTTGAATGTACCAATGCAACCCCTTAGTCTCATGTCTTTCCCAATTGTCCATGTTACGAATAACGGGCTTGAAAATCGAACGTAAACATTGTTAACCACGTCGGTGGAACGACAACGAGGGATACGCTTTTATCGATGTAGATATCAGAGAACGCAGTCGTCGAATTATAACATTCGGGATATAAATTAATAAGAAAATGATTAAAATTGTAATGAGAGTTCGTAATGTTTGAAAGACGCGTGAACGACGTCGCGGCCGGAGTAGAGAGGCTCGAGTAAACGACATAAAAAAAAACAAACGGAACAAACATTTAAATGAATGAAACGGATAAAAGAAAGTACTCACAAAGCTTCGTTACTGAAGTTGGGTGGTTTTGGGGGGTCTAGTTGGTGCAGTTGGCAGTAAAGGACATCGAAACAATAAAAGCCCATCTCGGGCTGAACTATTATAGAGCTCCGTATGTGGATACCATTTTGTAAACTTACGGGATTGTTACGCGGTATACTACTAGAATCGTTCAGTTTTTGCTTCTTCGTCCCGCAACAGCTAGCTGCCATTCTTTCTCAGTTAGAAAACCCTGCTAACTACCAACGGTCTCCATCATGTCACGCGTCTCTGCTCTGCTCTTCTTCCCTCGTTGCTATATTCCACGATCGCGAGTCCGCCAGATGTCACTGTCCGAGCAACAGCTGTTTCTCCTGCCCGCTAATTTTCTACCCGCAGTTTCAAAAGTTCCATATGCAAAGCAGTTTGTGATCTAAGTGCATGGAATTTTAAGCAAAACACCGGAATGGACTTCGTCGATAGATCCAGATAGATCTTCCAAGGAATCGATAAGGTATTCTATCTTAACCATGTCTAAACTAAAATCGTTTTGACGTTCAGTCATAGTTTGAAAATATTTCGATGTCAGGCTCGAATTCGAAGAGCGTGCAAAGGGTGAGAGTAATAATTGTTAGTTTATAATATAAAACTTTTATTCTTTATTCCAATACAATGGAAGATTTAGGATTCCTTCGTTCGTCAATCCTGGGCTTTGTTTTCTTATTTCGTCTATAAGTACACAATGAAAATGATTCTATTGTCCGAAGTACATGCAATTATTTGTCGAATGCTAGACTTCTAAATGTATAATTGGCAGTTACTCGGGTACTAAAAGTATTTACGTATAAATAAATAATTAATTCGAGACTGTTGCTTGTCTCCGTGAAGGGGACGATGAATTAAAATGATCGGTGGACAAATGAGAAGAGAATCTATCAAAGAAAGATTATTAAATGCAGCCATCTTGAAATTTTCACTTATCCAAATGATATATTTTAAGAAACTGAGAATAATTAACGTTAAAGAAATCAATAGCGATTCTATTCAAGTTTTATCAGTCACAGAATGTTAAAATCACAATGAGATCGTCGTATCTTCGCTTACAACTATATTACAATTACAATTAAATGTATTTCAATAGTCATAATGCAGCCCACTGGTTATTTACAGTAGAGGTCCCGTCCTATCGCATTTATCACACTGCTAAAGAGTATTTGTTACAATCAAAATTTCGTCGAGACTTTTAATGTACAAGAAAGAACCAACAATCGTTTTCAAACGCCTAATACAATCCTTTGCTGTAACGAAACGCTGGACCATAGTATAACTATTTACATTGCTTAAACTTCCATTTAACAATGGTATAAAAAATGAAAATCAACAGAAAATTTTGAATAATCCTCAAAATACGATAACATCTCTTTATACCATTAGCATAAAGAAGTTTAACTAGCTATCATTTAAAATTAGAATATATTCGTATTATTCACGACTGAATCAGAATTAACAATAACTCTCTCTTTCTCTCTCTCTCTCTCACTCTCTCGTTCTCGCTTAGTTTAATCTAATGTAACAACTGTAATGCACTGAAAAACACGTATTGACACAAAAGTTAAGCCGAAAATGATAACTGCTCTCCTCACACGAATCGGTAGAAAACTCGTGTCTTACCTAGTAAAAGAACGGTACTCCCTATTTTGTTTACGTGAATTTGTACATTGAATGTTGTTAAGCAGGCAGTGAATTGCAGGCAGCAGCATCACTGTGCTAGAAACTCGATCGTGTTCACTCGTATACTCGTGAGAAAAAATGTACAACCGGCGGCGGCGGCGGCGGCGGTATGATGGCAGGATTCTATGTTAATTCTATTCACGGACCGAATCATACTTAATTGAAAAGCACGTGACGATATATACTATGGTACAAGTTTTTTTTTTTTTTAAATCCGAACAGTTCTCACATGTAGCCTCGTTATAAATATCCAAGTTAGAAGTCGATACACACGTATTATATTATGTTACGTCGATTAATCGTACTGGTGTGATAAAAAATGAAAGAGTGCCATCATACTCGGTGTATCGTCATCAGGGGGAACTGTGTGGTATCATCAGGGGGAAACTGTGTATGCAGAAGCATACAAAGTACAGTAGGCACCATTTGAAACAATGAAACATCGTGAAGAACAGCCGCCTCCAATGTCATTTTCGTTTGCGTACGCCGCGCTCGGCAGGCTCCTGGGACGACGAGAATCGATGAACACGCGGCGGAGGATTCGGGTGTGACGACGGGGGACAGGGCGAGGAGTTCTGGTCCCACCAGAACGAGGAGTAATCCCATATCGGTACCATCACCGGTGAAACGGGGGGCATCGGAAGAGGATGAATAAATGCTGGCTGATTACGCTGTTGCGCCGACCCGTCCTGACCGGCCAAGTAACTGTATTGCGTGTTGTACAGCAAATGAGGGGGCGCGTCGTTAGGGTGTACCAGATTCGGAGCTAGCTGGGGTCCTTGGCCGGAACCCCAAGCCAGCTGCTAGCATCGTCGACTATGCCAATGTGTCATGTAATCCTGATAGCTTACGGTAACTTTCTCGCTCTGGTACCGGGTCAGTTTCACGCTGCGTCTGATGTCCGGTGTGACCAATCCTTTGTAGCCACCCTTGTGCAGCAAAGAATCTATCGTTTGTATCTGGTCCCAGCCTGTTGGCAATAGATTAGATCAGTACGAAGTAAGAGGAGACGTCGATCTCGCGAATACGAACCTTGTTCCGTCGCGACGTCAGGCAAATAGGTGGCAGTTCGTTTATTCCCCTTCTCGTTATGGAACTCTATACGAATCCCGTGTACACCGACTTCCCAGTCCAAATAATCGACACCGTCCTCAAAGTGTCTCAGAATCGACACGCTTACGTGTAAACGTGGCAGCTCGTCCCGCGTGATCGGGTTAAACCGTGAATCTTTGAACGCACTTTGAAAAGTTTCTAATGTCTTTAAAAATATAAAGTAACAATTATTTAAGACGAAGTTTAAATCGTTTTACCTGGTCGTCGCGTACTCTCTAAGCCCGGCGTGCAGCTGCATTGCGTTAAACGTACCAATGCAGCCTCTTAATCTCATATCTTTTCCGATAGTCCATGTTACAAACAATGGGCTATAAAATATAACTGATCAATTAGTACGTAAAGACCTCATGCATCCGTTATCGAAATCTTTTTTGATATATGGATTGTAACATGGACTCAGTGATTCGAGAGAAAGAAAGGCGGAACACACACACACACAGTCTATCTATTTCGTTTCTTTATTTTAGCAACGTTTCGCGTGTAGCAAGACGGTAACAAAGAAGGTGAAGGATAGTGCGAACGGGGCGCACGTTGAAACGGGAAAGAGAGAGAGCAGCTGATGGCGACACCGACAGAGATGACTAAGTGCGATAGACTGAGACAGAGGGGAGCGAATGCGATCGGGGAAAAGCGAGATTCACAATTATTGTTGCTCACAATGCTTCGTTGCTGAAGTTTGGCGACTTCGGTGGGTCGAGCTGATGCAGTTGGCAATAAAGAACGTCGAAACAGAAGAAACCCATCTCGGGTTTCACTATCACGCTGTTCCTCAGCTGTATCCCGTTTGTTAACACGGTACCGTTGCAAGGTACGCTAGACGAGTTGTTCAGCTTCTGCTTCTTCGTGCCACAACAACCCGCGGCCATCGTTATCAATTCCTCTGAGATCTATTCACGACTATTGCTCGTATCGGTCCTCGACCCACAACACGTCTCCCATTATTCCTCCTCGCCTGCGACAGAATCGCCCGCGTTCCGTTAGATGTCCTCCTATAACCTGAAACAGCTGTTCCCCCGTCGACATTTTCGTTCCTGCGCGCTTTCGGCCATAGTTGAAATTGAAATTTCCCGGTGTTTAACGTCCTTCGGTGTCCTCTCGTTATTTATCACGTTTTTAGACGCGAATAGTCGACGGTCAAGTGAAATAGTTGACAAGGACGAGTAATGAAAGTAGTTGAAGATTAGGAACGGTTAAAGTAAGGATAGGAACGTCGCGTTCGACGAGGAAGTCGATTTGTCGATGCGTCAAGCGTACGCGTTATTTATTTCATTCTATCCGTTAGATATTCGGTTTTCAACTACGTGCAGTGAGTAATGTGCAATTTCTATCGCGATTGTTGTTCAGAGAACAAGTGTTGTGCATTGTTGAATTCGTGTCGCGTGGATTCGATTTGTAAGAAACGTCGTCTGTCGTTTGTCTTAAAGATGTCAGCCGGCGGATTGAAATGAGCTGAATGTAATTACTGGAACTATGCCGAGGGCACTGGCTCGCCTGTCCCCTTACCTGGCACCTGTTCACGATGCATCGAAGCAGCCCGAGGCGTGACAGTAGATTTTACCCGTAAGTAACAACGTGTTTCTAACTCTCCGGTTTATCGCCGATTCGCATTTATTTCGCCAAGTTTTAGTGTTACGATTCGTGCTCAGTGAATTAAACAATAAATCAATTAATAACGCTGATATTATAAATGAACGCGTGACCGCATGAGATCGTTGTACGGCGCATAAATTTCACGCATCGTACGCGATTATAAATTAATACGTAATATCGAGATTCGGAATTTATATTAATAGTTAGAACGGCTTTGTGACAATCCAATAGTTATAATCGCTATTAATATAGCGTACGTATCCGAAGTGTAAACAGTCGCGAGTAAAAGATAAACAATGAGTTTCGAACGTTGGTGCAAAGGACGACGCAAAATAACGTTGTTGTTGTCCTTGCAGAATTCGAAGAAGCATCGAGGTTAAAAGTGCGTCGCAGGAACCAGCAGCCGATGGAATAAAAATTGGTGAGTTTTTCATTTCTATTATTGAAAGTTTGATGATTATTCGTTTAAAACAAATGTTCGCGTGGTTATACACGTTATATAAATGTGTCATAATACTAGAGTGACTCAGATTTACGCAATCTTTACGCGGCTCTGAGTCTGATTTTTGCAAATAGATAACACGCGTGTTCAATGAATGGAAAATATGAAAGCGAGAATCATTGAGCAATCTTTATAATCTATTTAATAACAATCGTCGATGGATTTTCTCACACGTCCTTGCGTTAATCGCACTTGACGATGAGTCTCCTGAAATATCATTGACGGCGTTCTAATTCGCGCTCGAATTGTCCACGGTTCTGTGGTCAGCGGCGCACCTTAAGTGAAGAGTTAATTACAACAAAAAGACACCTGTAATCGACCTGACGTTTTATACCACAACGTTGATTCACGCGTTTTACTAAAAACGGATGATGCTACGTTGACGAAAGTGTATCATTTTTCATAGATTTTACGTCGTCGTTCAGATTGATTGACAACGACTAGTTCGCTTAGACACACAAAATGCATTTACCGGTTGAACGTAGTCGCTGTCGGTGTTGATAGTGCACTCGTGCCTCCCACAAACGTGGTTTCACCATTTAGCTTAACAAAAGTTTAGCCAGCCACGTATTCGACTTCACTGTACATCCTAAAAACTTTTGCTCCACGCAATAATTCGAAAGGATCATTATTTTAGGTATTTTTCTATGTATAAATGAGTACAAAAGGAATGGTCGAAGGTCATTCATTCTTACACATTGAAAAACCGCGTTTCTCGGTAAGTATAATTGAAGTAAACGTTGCCTGGGTGAAACTGCAACTGTGCGTACGTCATAAAGTCCGAACAATGCTCTTCCCGTCTCGTTCTCTTCGCTGATTGCGCCATTCTTCTTGCCTTACGTCTACACACATTCCTAATTTCGCCTCTTTCAACAGGTCAGAAGAACACGGAAATCTTAATGAATGATAACAGAGTGACTCTCTTTCAAAACGCATATTTATACGCACGTTATATTTTTATGACCAACACGCATCGACGAGGAACTTGGAATTTCTTCACCGACGTATCAATCGATTATCTCGTCTCTGAAACGTATTGGGAAATCCTGTGAAGAATCGCGAAGCGCGTTGTCGTTCAGCGAATTCCCACACACGTCCTTTCCTATAATTACCATTAATCTGTTTTGCCGTGAAATAACACGCGCCGCTGCGCCTCGTGCGATCATCGTTCAATCGTTTAATCATCACAGATTTCATGAATTCTTTTGCTGTTGGTTGTGCAAGCGAAATTTTCTCCAGTCCTTGATCAATTAATTGTTCGATCTCTCTACGCAGTAAGCTAGTTTTTGTATTAAACAGAGTTAATTAGGAACAAACATATAATTTTCCATGCTTATGCTTTCCTGAGGAAGTTACACACAACGTGATAATTGCTAGATCGCTGTTCTCTATGCAAACTAAATCATTTGTAACGAGCAATAGATGGAGGAATGAATTTCAAACGAAGTCCCAACACGTAATTAGGTTTCAATCCTCTGATAAATGAGAGATCTCCTGATGACCAACATCGGTGATTTTCAAACTATTTAAATAACTTACTCATGGCTCGTTCGCGTAATTTCTGCATTAGTCTTGTTACGTCGATCCTCCACGATCTGTAATTGCGTAATATAATTACGTTTTTATTACAGGTACGTTCGTCTTCGGTAAATAAAAGCAAGTTGGTATGTTAAAACGTTTGCTGATGGTTTTACGAGAAGGCTGGGTTCATTGCAATTGCGTGCAGACACTCGTCTCTCAAAATCTCCGTTAAAACGGTTATTTAAAACGTTAACCCGTTACACGACTGGATTCCGTGGAAGATAGTATAATTGTTATAATCTTCGTTCACAGTAGAATCATTATCATTAGATTATAATTGGTGTTTCGTTTTAATTAAACGTTCTCCAGCTAGAATCCTGTATAATTTTGCACGTGGGTCTCAGTCTCGTTGGGTAGACTTGCAGTTAATTGCAATTTTGGTCATCGGTAGAACACACATCTAATAATATAATTGCTACATCTATTTCGTTTTAATTAAACGTCGCAACTCGATGCTAATTACGATCTTGATCGAAGGAAAACCGTTCGACAGTTTCGATTTACGAACGTTACATAAATAATATAATAGTATCACGTGCTGTTTCAGATTTTCATGAATTAACAATTCAAGCATAGTAATTTCACTTGAGACGTAAAACCATTAATTGCGTATCACACCTTGAGAAATCATGGGAGTTGTTCAGGTCTGCGATTTTTATTTATACAATCTTATCGAATGATTACAAAGTTATCAATAGGGGTAGTATTAGACTTTGAGTCAATTTTTAAACGTATTAAATGTCTCGTGAGATAAATAGCGACTGCGTCGTTCTAATTTAGGTGTTATTTAAATAGAATGTCTGGGATTATTGATTAATTTCTTGGAAACGAGCTAATAGATATGTTAGCAGTGTCAGAGGGGTCGTCGAACTCTTAGCCTGGACGGAAATAGGAGAATCAAGCCGTCAACTTGCAAATCGAATCTGCTCTCATTTCGTGTCTGCCAAACACGGCACTTTATTCACTTACGGAATATTGGCACTGGCACGATCGTTCGATTGTATTTTTAGACTTTCAAACCGATTCTATTTGGACGTTCGATAACAGCCGAAAGTTTTTACGTCCACGCGCACTGAAAACGTTAAACATGTGACGTTTAACAAGCCTCGATAAGTAATAACTGAAGGTATAATAATAAGTACTGTAGTAGTTGGTAATTACGGTGGTAGTTACCGTGTTGACTAGAGATAATGATATCGTTCCCATTATTTGTATAAGTCTAATGCTACGTGGTCGATAATGCTAATTTCTTAACATAATTAATACTTAAGGACGTCGTCGTTGAAATTCGTATCTCTTCTACTCAGAACAGAATTACTAATTACGAATAATTGCAGGTAAAATAAGAGAGGAGGATTATTAATACTACATTCGTAATTATACTCGACGCAGAGGAGCTTTGCTGTCTGTCGCTCACAGTTTTCCTAATCAGTCCGCTGGGGTGGCAATAGAATTCGTCGTCGCTAGGAATCAAGTCCTGTACGATACCGATGAAATCTTCTAAAGGACACAATTCCGCGCAGCCTGGAATCGTTTTGATCATCAGCTGCTCAGAGACTCCGGTCCAGTACAAAACCTGATAGAAATATTGAAAATGTTACGTAAATAATTGAGAGGACTTTGCATTACTTTGTGTAATGAAATATTTACCCGGATGTAGTAATTCCCTTTTTTATCGCGGAGCGTTTCCAAAATTAGGGTAGCTCCGTAGGCGGGGACAATAGGCTCGTCCAATTCCAAAGCTCTTGCCAATGCAGCAACGTTCATTTCGTGTGCAGAGAAAAGAAACGCTTTCCTGTCGTATGGCTCCAATCTACCTACTTTATACGTCTTGATGTCCTCCACTATTTTACGTATCAACATCCCTGAAAGAAGGTGATCGTAACTGAAGAGATTATTAATTATTTATCAAAAGATGCAATTTTAATATTTGTCATATGATTGAAATCGAGTTTCTGTCTACAACGACATTGACTTTGAGAATTAGTAAAAAAAAAGGTGCAAAGTCCTCGCAGCGTACCTCCATTCAAGCGTTTCAACGTCCTCGTGTAAGACCTGAGTTTAAAGTCCAGCGCGACTATCTCCTTCATCGGAGTAGGATAGACGGTCTCGGTCCATTTGGGGAGAGTCAGGTTTTGCGCTGCCTAAAAATAGACGTTGGCTCAGGTATTTGTAAAAATTGTTTAACGAGCAACAAGGAGTAGATCGAGATACCTCCTCTTTTAATAAGTTGTAGATATAAGTGACGGCAGACGTCGTGTTTATGCTCTTTCCTGAATGCTCGGTCAAGTAACTGAATACATTTTTGTACTTGTTCAACATGTCGCGCGCTTTCTCCTGCTTCAGGAATTTGCTATACTCTTCTCTGTACCTTGAATCGTTAATTTTGTCAGTCATACGAATTAAATTGAAAATCGGATCACTGAATTTAATAGCCCGCGGTCGAATGCTTCCAACAATAATAGAACGCGAATCGTAGAGCCGTCGGACGGGAGAAAAGAATTACCTGGGGCAGTGATGCGGAAACAGGAGATTGTCAGTCTCGTAGGGGTCGAAGAACGTGAACGCCGGAATCCAGGGTAGATGCGAATTCCACGTTTGCTTCTCCGACGGTGGGAATAATCCGGACAGGACTAACTGCAGGGACAACTGAGTCCTCGGGATGTACGTTGATCGCGCGTAGATCTTCTCCGGCCAATAATCCGGACCGAGAAATCGATCGTAACGCTCACGCAGCATTGTACCAATCCTGTATTCACGTTGCTTCCCTTGCTAAACGCAAAACAATTACCATTCGCCCCAGTAATTCCACTGACACCAAAAATGATCACGTACATCTGTCTGTTTAATTCATTTAATTGATGTAATCAGTCATTCATGCGATACCATGAATAATTGATATAATAATATTAATAATTGTATTCTTAGTCACTAAGATCTTGTCTCTTATGTGTCGACACACTGTTCTATTACTTCTCACTTTTATCTGTCGGTTGGCATCAAAGTTATGAAAGAATCTTCACTGACTGATCAACAATTGTTAGCTAAGGTTGTATTATCCTGTTAAATTGCGCAGGAATTTAATTGGAGGCAATTAGCAGGATTTCTCAGAATTTGTGAAATATGTAATCTATGAAACCACACCTTGTCTGGTGACAAGATCATGTAGACTGCTATCTAGACATCTGGATCTCTCGAATGCACGACGGACTCGAATAGAGTGGAATAAATGAATGCATAAAATCTCTGATCCTGAACAGGTGGATCAGTTTTTTACTCACGTTGGTCAAATCTCCGCTGCCCATAGGATAGAACGAGTAGTCCTTGTAAGGATCCGTGGGATAATTTTGGTATTCCCGGTGAGGCACCTTCTCGCCATGTCGAAACACCTTTGAAAACACGTGAACAGTTTCTCGTTAATAAAACGAAAATAATTTGTCACTTATTTTAATGATTGCCTCTGCGTTTCAGTGATAAGACTTGCTCGGAGACGAATTGGATTATCAAAGGGAATTACCAAGTGTAACAATTGCAAATCCAGGTCGCAGTTGACCAGAGTAATTGTAGAGAGAACGACGATGATCACTGATAAACGAAGAAACATTTTCGAGATGCAATTCTGTATGTAAAGCGCGAGAGCTACGTCCGGAATGCACAATTTCTCTGAGCGATCTACCAACGAGCATGTGTTCCTGCTCGTGTTTAACTAAAACAACTCGTGGGTGGGGGTGGTTAAGGAACACAGGCGAACAGGTTTGCAGTTCTCTCGATTTTTATCGATTCCCCGTTTTTGCTCGTTACGTTGATCCTGACTTTTCCTGTTTGCTGGTATTCCTCGAAGGCCGCTCGAACAACGAATCCTCCCGGGCCTCAGCCACTTCAAATCTCACGCGTACGAGCGTGACGAAAGTTCGTCTATCAACCGGTTAGTCGAAATTTAACGATTCGCTGGCATTTCATTTCAGGGGAGAAAGTCGGAAAAAGTAGGTAGAATCTTAGGTCAGAGTCATCTCCTATGTAAATGACTGGTTTAAGATTTTTCTTATCTTAAGTCAGGATTATTTCTTAATACACAGTTTTTTTTCTCTATTCAAACACAATCTTCTTGTTTGCGTTTCTTCAAGAAAAATGTGATAACGATAATTGCAAGAATAATTTACAGCTGTTCCATTGTAATACATATTCATTTAGATACTAACGCTTACACGTTAATTGATTGTGTAATGAAGAAATCTGCATTGATTTGTTATTAATCATCTTACAGTATCATCAGGACACATGATACTCCTGAAGGATTAGGACGATAAATCATTGTCTCGTTTAATTCATTTTTACTACGAATCAGACAATCATCTTACTAAGAATATTTCTATCGAAATCGTCTTCCTGGGAATTTACGAGGAAAAATCGTACTGTTCCACAATCTTCTCATTGCTTCATTAAAGAGAATCATTGAAATATTTCTTAACATTCATCGATTTTTATGGGGATGCTTCCTTGCATTGAAAGAATGTCTTCTGAAAGACTTGCAGATTGTAAGGAAATCTAAATGGAATTATGCATAGAATTTGTTGTTTATTCGTAGATTTTTATTACAAATAGGATTTAATAATGATAGATAAAATTAATTGGATTGCGAGGTACGTGCTGAAAACAAATTCCAGTATTCTGGCATGCAGTCACAGTGTCACAGTTACATTCAATTATTTATGCAAATTGTTAAAAAGTATTTAATCAGTATTTGAAAGCCAGATAATTTACCTGGCCTATCTAACATATTAACGTCAATATGTGCATTGGTTATAAAAATACACGAGTGCCTGGAATGTAAGGGGATTTTCAGTGAGTCACTAGCATCGTTTTTATTCCCTCCACGTGGACTCTTAATTACACAGTTCGAGAATCTCTTGTTTATCAAGTAAATATGAACTGATTATTCGTATTATCGAAATTAAAGAAAATTCATTTTGGAAGCTGCGATTTTTAATATGCATCTCTTATTATGGTGAACTTTGAAAAGAACAAAACCCCTGGTATCATGAATTTTTTACGAGTTGCTCATAAATTTCGCAATAATGTCGGAAACGTTTACTCATAAAACTGTGAATGCAACCAGCGATTGCGAGGAGCTGCCACAGTTTCAATACAGCCGGTCGTTATTTCGTTGGTATAAAATTTTCTGAAACCTTTTCAGCAGAGCTTCAAAAGGATAATGTTGACCCTGGCGGGCAGGACCTCTTTAAAAATTCATTAAGAATACGGTTGTCGCAGATTACAAGTCTTCTTTCACGCTCGTTTATTTTTATTCAAAATGCGTAGTCGACACACCCACGCCTCGTTTATAATCTCTCTCTCTCTCTCTCTTTCTCGTCACCTTTACCCCACGCTGTCTGTGAAGCGTTATGAATTATCTAAGATATCCAGATCGATCAGTCACTGTCNTTATAGGACAGTTGGCAAAAAATGCTAGAACTATCAGAATATTAGAAATGATGCTTTAAAAATTGCTTATGCTGAAGGAAAGTAGGTGGAACAATTTTACAAATCTTATTCCTGTAATTACAATTTTTTCTAAAATTGCTTTTGTTCACAGGTTTTTATTGGATGTGTTAAACTCTTGGCAGAGACCTTACGACTCCTATAATTACCTCTAACTAATAATCGTATGCATTGAGCAAGTTCCTGGATGACTGATAGGGGACAGGAAATCGATTGGCCATTTATCTTGTTGTCGTTCAACTTCTCACGTCAGCGAGTAGCTCCGCGATCTTAATGAGTATTTCCATCCGTCTTGCAAACGTACATATCCTGTCGATTCTTAACTGTCCGCGTTTATTGATTTCTGATAATAATCCTGCGAGCATCGCGTTATGCAAAAAAGATTCCGTTAGCTTGTCAGCACTCCAAGTTTTTACAATCTTTTTCATTGCAATCAGATTTTTATCAGATATACGTTCAGGGTTAAAAGAGAATCTGATTCCACTCTTTATTTATGTATCTATCAGATCTGTTCATAAATTTACGAATTCAGTCAATGAATCAACTTACTTATCCAAGTATTGTCTGTACTTTTAAATTTATGAACGCAGTGCAAGTTTTAGTCTTCATTTGTACAATTTTCCAGAATCAAAGTGCAATTAATTCGTACCACATGAGTATCATAAGTATCGCATATCCCATAATTGTAAATTATTTGAATGTCTCTATAATCTGAAATGATATATCGTTGGTGTAACGTCCTTGCGGATGTAAAAGTGAACGGGGGAAAAAAAAAACCTTAGAATGCGCGATTCCGAAATGTACGTGTTGCAAGCGAGCATAAAATTCGCATATATCAGTGCAGGTCGTAACGAGAGACGCTTGTGCGCGATTATTACGCTCGATATTACCAGTCGGGTAGTCAGAAATAAATATTATGACAATTGTATGTATGAAAATTGCAACGCTAGTCGATAATCAAACGTAATTTATGATTTTTGATCAGCCAAGTAGATCTCGCAGACGCGTTTTACAAATGAATTAATTAATTTTATCATATTCTTGTAGATGAAAAAAGGGAATGGAAGGACGGTTTGATAGAACCGCAGAGTTGTTAGACGGCGCAGTTGCAGTCGCCGGGAAATCCAATACCGTGGAATTGAATAACGTATCGACAGACGTCGCAGGGTGCGAAGGCACGTTCAGGAACAACTTCCTCCTAAGGAAACCACGCTAGATCTGAATCGATTCTCTACGCTCGAGGGGTTCGCCCGTTCCACTGTCTTCAATTTTCGTTCCCTCTCTCTCTCCTTGTAAAACGGTGTTTCAAAGCATGGTCGATCGATTCGAATTAAATGGTCAATTGTAGAAAAAGGATAATTAAATGGAATTCTTTAATATTTGCAAATGCAATCGCCGTTTCGGGGGGTTTTGAAATCGTACCAACGATATGGGTCACCGGAAGTTGGCTGAATTATCCAGCGTAGGAACGAGCTTATGTTCCAGGACACGAACCAAGTCCGACCTTGCACCAGTAACCCACATAATGCCCGGTGAGGTAACACCGTCCTTCGAATATCGATAATGCCTCGTACAGAGAGAGGTGAACCCGCTATTCTTTATCCTAAAAATTCTCTCCGTCTAGTTTGCTGTTGCAAAGTTCAACAGTCAATATTTGTCTCATTATACCCTGTTCACCGAGCTCTGCGCCATTGCCAAGGGAGAGCCGAGACCAGATTCCGGCCTATCCCTACATAATAAAACTCTACCACCGAGTCTGTTGCATAAAATAAATACGTCGGATCGTGTGTCACTACTTTATGAAAAAGAATCTACAAAGGACGATAAATTGTTAAGTAAATATATGAGTCTGGACTGGTTCCACGTGCGAGACCTTGAACTCCCTAAACCCGGGAGTTGTGCAATCCGGCCAGGAGCAGCCCAAGGCCCGCCTAGAACAGCCCTGGACCAGTCCTTGAAATCCCGGCCAAAGCTTTTCGCAACTTCATTTCAAACAAACTTCCATTCGAAGACGGTCCTTAAAACTGTTTACCAATCTCCATTGTTCTATCGTTACGATTTTAATAACTTTTCTTAGGGATTGCAAACGTTTCAGTTCTTCTAATTTTATTTAATTGTTTCAGGTGAAAAAGTGCTTGCATGGTGTCCACGCTGCTGTTCTGCGCCGGGACGGAGAAGCGGCAACGTGAGTCTTTGTTTCATCTTTCAATTCGACTATTCGTCGATTATAAATACGTGCGAGGCGCAGATTGCATTTTTTTCAATAGTTGGATTTTTGTTCACGCTCCGTTAAATCGAACCTCCTAGCTAGCTCTCAATCCGAAGAGCTAGTCGAGCGTGTCACATCCAGCCGGATTCTATTAACGCGTTCGATTAAATTCAGTTGATTTTGTAAGGAACGGGGTCGTGTACTCTAACGTTTTATCTACGCCCAGATACCAACCGGATCAATCGTCTATTTTTATTTGAAAACCAGTTCGTATCAACCTCACACGATGTATCGATATCGTTTACATATAAAAGGCAAATCAGAAAATTGTATCGTGATAAGAAGAAAAAGATACGCATTTCTCTGTTTTGTATAAAAATTGTATCAATCATTTTAACAGGAATTCTTATTTGAATTTATAGAAGTTCTGCAGGAAATTCGTTTAGCTTCTTCTGTCTGTTATTAATTACTTAAAAGGAAGCTTGTAGGAAACTGTTAGAAATGACGAGTGTGAAAACTGAGATCATTTTTCAACCGTTCTCAGTCTTCCTCAATTTCTCTCGACAGTCTCCCCATTATCGAATATCTCACGTTCATTGAATTTACCGTCTGTCGTCCACGGTTTCATCCATTTTTTAACCATCCCCCGTCAAATCGAATTGAATAAAAACAGCAGATGTACTTGGAGTTCACGTTTATACTTTGAAAGGTTCACACGAATGTCCATCATTATTCATTTGCATATTTTTCTATGTAGAATTTTGTACAATTTTCTTGTACACAGGAATAATTTGATATTTTTAATTTGTAGATTCATTAATTTTGGTATAAAGGAACAGGATATCGCGTCCGTTTCATTGGCTTCCCTGGCGAAGTTTGCTCAGAGAGCGTCACATGAAAGCTTAAAGAAGAAGTTGCGCAAGTTTTCGTGCTAATTGACTGGCGGAGCCTGTATGG